TGTTCAGTATGTTCCTGTTATCCTTGATCTCTCCAGGACCTTTATTATGAAGGGGTGTTGGATTTTGTCAAAGGCTTTTTTTTCCACATCAAGTGAGATGATCATGTGATTTTTCTTTTGCAGTTTGTTTATATGATGAATTACTTTGATAGAGTTTCTAATGTTGAACCATCCCTGCATTCCTGAGATGAAGCCTACTTGATAATGGTGGATGATTTTTCTGATGTGTTCTTGAATCTGATTTGCTAGTATTTTATTTAGTATGTCTGCATCAATGTTCATGAGGTAGATTGGTCTGTAGTTCTCTTTCTTAGTTGTGTTTTTTTGTGGCCTTGGTATCAAGGTAATTGTAGCTTTGTGAAAAAGACTTTGGCAACAAAACTCCTGCTTCTATTGTGTGGAATACTTTGAGGAGTATTGGAGTTAGCTCTTCTTTAAATTTCTGGTAGAATTCTGCACTGAAGCCTTCTGGACCTAGGTTTTTATTTTTTATTTTTTTTGGTTGGGAGACTCTTGATGACTGCTTCTATTTCATTAGGGATTATAGGTCTGTTTACATTGCTTATCTGCTCTTGATTTAATTTTGGTAAGTGATATCTATCCAAAAAATTGTCCATTTTCTTTAAATTTTCTGGTTTTGTGGAGTACAGATTTTCAAAGTGTGGCCTGAAAATTCTCTGGATTTCCTCAGTGTCCGTTGTTATGTTCCCCTTTCCATTATTGATTTTGTTGATTTCCCATGTTCTCTCTCTGCCTTTTAGTTAGTTTGGACAGAGGTTTGTCTATCTTTTTGATTTTCTTGAAGAACCAACTCTTGTTTACATCGATTCTTTGTTTTGGCTTTATTGATTTCAGCCCTCAATTTGATTATTTTCTGGTGTCTACTCCTACTGAGTTTGCTTCTTTTTGTTCTAGAGCTTTCAGTTGTGCTGCTAATTCTATAGTGTGACTATTCTCCAGTTTTTTGATATGTGCACTTAGTGTTATAAACTTTCCTCTTAGTACTGCCTTCAAAGTGTCCCATAAGTTTGGGTATGTTGTATCTTCAGTTTCATTTAATTTTAGGAAGTCTTTAAATTCTTTTTTATTTCTTCCTTGACCCAGGGATGGTGCAATTGCTCATTGTTCAATTTCCACGAGTTTTTAGGGTTTTTGTACTTTGTGTTGTTGTTGAATTCTAACTTTAAAGCATGGTGGTCCAATAAGATACAAGGGGTTATTCAAATTTTTTGTACTTGTTGAGGTTTGCTATGCTGCCAAGTATGTGGTCGATTTTAGAGAAGGTCCCATGTGGTGCTGAGAAGAAGGTATAGTCTCTTGTGTGGAATGTTCTATAGATGTCTGTTAAACCTAATTGGGTCATAACTTCTGTTAGTTCCTTTGTTTCTTTGTTGAGTTTCTCTCTGGCGGTCCTGCCTAGTGGTGAGAGTGGGGTGTTGAAATATCCCACTATAACTGTGTGAGGTCTTATGTGAGATATGTTATTTAATAATTTTTTTACAAATGTGGAGACCATTATATTTGGGGCATAGATGTTCAGAATTGATACTTCATCCTGATTGATTTTTCCTGTGATGAATATGAAATGACCTTCTTCATCTCTTTTGATTTATTTTAATATGAAGTCTAATTTGTTTGATACTAGGATAGCTACACCAGCTTTTTTCTTGGATTTTATCCCAACACTTAACTCTGAGGTAATGTCTGACTTTGAAGTTGAGGTGTGTTTTTTGTATGTTGCAGAAGGATGGATTTTGTCTTTGTATCCATTCTGTTATCCTGTGTCTTTTTATAGGCAAATTAAGACCATTAATATTGAGGGAAATTAAAGACCATTGAGTGTTAATTATTGTTTGTTTTTGATTTGTTATTGGTCGTGTAAGTGTGGATTCACCCCTCTTTTTTTGTCTTTTGGTAAAGTTGCATTATCTATTGCATATGTTTTTTGAGTGTATTTACCTTCCTTAGATTGAAGTTTTCCTTCCAGTACTTTATATAGGGCTGTGTTTATGGATATGTATTGTTTAATCTGATTTTTTCATGGAATATCTTGTTTTGTCCATCTATAGTGATTGAAAGCTTTGCTGGGTATAGTAGTCTGGTCTGTTATCCGTGGTCTCTTAGTGTTGGTAGAATATCTATCAAGGGCCTTCTGGCTTTCAGAGTTTCCATGGGGAAGTCAGATGTGATTCTGATAGGTTTGCCTTTGTATGTTACTTAGCCTTTTTCCTTTGCTACTGTTAATATTCTTCCATTATTTTGTATGTTCTGGGTTTTTTTAGATAACATTGTTTAATGAGGAAAAAATAAATTTCCTATTACTTTTATTTTCACTTCTCCATATGTTTAGAGGAGGTCAGAAACATGCACGGGAACACACATGCATGCATGTACACACAAATATGAACATATTTTACGATGTATTGATTTGCTCTTTCATCTTTCCCCCACAAAAAATCATCAAGATTGCATTAGCATTTCATACAATAGTATTTGGCATTTCAGATTTTCCAAAAGAAGTATAGATGAATTATTCACATCTGAAAGGAAAGTCAATTGGGGAAATAAACATTAAAATGATTTGCAGTCTGCAGTTATTCCTATCATTTAATTACCGATTAATTTACAACTACAATGTATTTTTACATTAATACTTTTGCATATTTTATATATTCATATTTTATTTTTTCATTATTCCCATTTTAGGGGAATTCTTATCAAATGATTTCATAGATTCACTCCTAGCATTCCATCCTTCATCCTTTCCCATCCACTTGGCCATATGGAAGGATACTACATTAGAAGCTTCTTAAAATATATACATACACACATGAAAAGCACTTAATCGGAGTTACCCTATATTGGAGCAACAGTACTCCCACCCCTATAAGACACTCACAGACAAACAAATGAAAAGCCTAATATCAGGAATGAATTGTCTGTTTTGAACTTGTTGACCAGTGAGTTCCTACTAATTCCCAAACGTTTCAATATACTTGGTTACCTTCCAGAACTTAAGAGTAAGACCTTAATGCTGAAGACATACATATTTGAGTTACAGAACACATAAGAAGTCAAGCTGGAAGATTCAATGTAAAATTAATATTCAATCTTACCCAGATGTAAACCTTATGAGCTATGTAATAGGGACCTTCCAGGCAGTACATGCCCACTGGTACAATAGTGGCATTAATGTCAGGTGCTGATATTGGGACCAATAATCTGTAGCTAGATGGGACATAGGCCCTAGGAGAACCTGCTAACTATTCTGCAAATGAGACATATTGTTAAACCAACTCCTAGTAACACATCATTACATGCATAAATTTATGCATCTCTCTAAGTCATTAGAGAAACCTCTTTTCCCATTATCTTTTTTTTGCAATTATCATTGAATTACATTTCTCTGGGGAAAGCCACCTCTCCCATTCCCAGCTTTCTTTTGTTGTTTATAGTTCTTTGCATATGACTGAATATTCATGGACTTCTCTCAATTCAGTTTGGTATGTTCATTTTTGTCATCTCTGTTCTACCACAACTTTGAATGACTCATATGGGCAGTAATGCTGATGAGACTCTATGCCTGTAGCTATTACTAAGAGATACAATCTCAGTGAGCTCAATGTTATTCTGGTTCTAAACAGTCTTTCTACTCTCTCCTCCAAAGTGTTGCTTGAGCTTTGGGTGTGGGAGTGTTTTGTTCATGTAGCCATTGGAACTGGGCTTCATATCTACATTTTGATTGGTTTTGATTTTCTGTAATGGTCTCCACCTGCTGCAAAGAGAAGTTTCCTTGATGGTGGATGAAGGCAACACTTATCTGTGGATATGAGGACAAATTTTCAAAGATTGTTGTTAGGTATTATTAAATTCGTGTACAAGTTCATGCCAGAAAAATGCTAGCATGGAGACAGGTACTGAAACACAAAATTCCACTCCTAGCTAAAGAGGTATAGCAATGGATACCTTTGAGAGAGGGAGAGTAGGTTTTATTTAAAGGTGTTGTCCCTGGTAGATGAACAGGCTACAGTGGAAGATTACACATCCTTGGGTATGTAGACAGTACCAACTGCACTTGATAAATTAAAAAAAAAGAGAGAACACAAAGTTGTGTGGAAAGGAAAGGGAGTTATCTCTGGAAGGAGTATGAAGGAAGTATCAATACGATCAAAATACAATATAAAAAATTTTCACTGTGTTGTGTTGGTGTGTCTATTTAAACCCAGCACTCAGCAAACAGAAGCATGCAAATCTTTGTGAGTTCCAAGACAGTCTAGTATACAAATCGAGCCCCAGGACATCAGAGGCTTCCCAGAAAAATACCTCTCTTGGAAACAAAACAGAATACTAAATGAGTTAATAAAAATGAGAATGATACAATCATAAGTACTGCAAGTAAGTGGATGAAATTGTAAACAATTGTCTTGAGTCAGGTAATCCAGACACAGAAACAGAAACATTTCATGTGTTCTCTTTTATGTGGATGTGATCTTTGATTCTGCAGATATGTATGTTTGTTTGCAATGTTAATAAATTTGTAAAGGACCATGGGAGAGTGGAGGTCTTTCAAAGGATAGAAGGATAACAGTCTTAAAAGGGTTAATAATAATGGAACAGGAAGGATCCCATGGAGCAGGTGATTGAAGGACAAGGAAGAGGAGAGAATATGAGGAGGGATAACTAACACTGAAGTCCTTTTGAAAGAGACATATAGAAACCAGTGAGCTAAATACCTAACCCTGTAGGAACTTTCTAAAATATGTGTATACATATATATTAGAAAGGGTTTTAAATAGGGTTACCTTGTAATAGGTGGACAATTCCCCATTTAGACACTTCATAACAGTAAATAAAATGCCCAGTACATGGAATGATTAAATACTTTTTTGAGTTGTTGGCCAATGGGGTTCAACAGACCCCAGCCATTATGGGTGGTTATTGTGAACCCTATAAGACACAATAAGAATAGAACCATCAAAATGTGTGCACATTATAAAAATTCAATTTATTGAATTGTTTTATGTAATAGGATCAAAGGAGGCAGAGAATCCACTATTTCTCCATCAATGAATCTGGATGTCTTTGCAGTCCCAGCACAGTGTAGAATTTCTGAAAGTCCCCATGGAAAGTTATTGATACTCAGTCCACATTCAAAGACCAAAGAGGATGGCAGCAGCAACAGGGATAGACACACTTGCTGAGGAAGAAGCAAAAGCAACTAGGCAACAATACTTATTTTTCAGACTTCAAAAGTAAAACCTACTTTGAGGGTAGGTCTCCCCACTTTTCCCACTTCAGTCAATTTTCTTTGTAAATATACAGATGGACCCATTATTTCTAAAACTCTGGACAGCAGGGAGTACAGCATGGAAAAAGTAAATGGTAGAGCAAAATCATTCATGCAATGGTTATACAACAAAATAAAGAAATGAGATGGGGCCAGTTTTCCATTATGCTTTTGAGTGTGTGCCCATAATTACTCAGAGATCACCCACTAGTCGTCTTCATTTCTCAAAGGTTTCATTGTCCTTCAGTATTACCCCACTAGTGACCAAGTTTTTACCACTAGCATTTTTGGAGGGCACTTAAAATATAAACAATGCCAGGCAGTGGTGGCGCATGCCTTTAATCCCAGCACTCGTGGCGGGGGCAGAGGCAGGCAGATCTCTGTGAGTTTGAGGCTGGGCTGGACCGACAGCCTCCAAAACAATACAGAGAAACCCTGTCTCATAAAAACCAAAAAAATAAAAAAATTAAAAAATAAAATATAAACAATAGCAATGGATATGCTTTTACATCTGTTTTATGTTGTAGACTCTTCTCTCTTCCTATTTTCTTAGAACAACTCATTGATGAATCTGGAGTATGAGTCTAAATTTTGTTGGTTGTATCTCTGCTGTTTTGTTTCATATGTTCCTTTGTCTTGTTGCTGTAAATAGAGATTATAATACAAGATGAATCATTATCTTTCAAGTTCTCTTATCAGAAGCCATAATAGGTAGAGTAGTGTAATAAGTAGATTAGTTATCTTATCTTCATTCACAACATAACCTTTGTTTTTGTGATAGTACCAGCTATTGATATTCATTGTCTAGGTCATAAATATAGAGCTACCTACTGGTATCCATGGAATATTGATTCCAGGACCCTATTGCTACAATTCCTTTATGGGAAGGGACATAAGCAACATTAGCCATTCTCTTAAGGTCCCAAAGTAAACCAAGGCAAGTGTACTGGTTAGTTTTATATGTCAACTTGATAAAAGCTAGAGTCATTAGAGGAAGGAGCCTCAGCTGAGGAAATGTCTCCTTGAGATCCATCTGTGAGGCATTTTCTCATATTGTGATCAATGAGGGAGAGCCCAGCCCATAGGAGTAGTGTCATAACTGGGCTGCTGGTCTTGGGGCTCTATAAAAAAGGATGTTGAGCAAGAAATGGCAGGCAAATAAGTAAGTAGCTCCCCTCCATGGCCTCTTCATCATTTCCTGCCTCCAGGGTCCTACTCTTGTTGAGTTCCTGTCCTAATTTCCTCCAGTGATGAACAACAGTGCTGAACTGGAAGCCTAATAAGCCCTTTCCTCCCCAACTTGATTTTTCATCATTGTGTTTCAGCACAGCAGTAGAAACCCTAACTAAGACAAATTGGTACCAGAAGTTTGGCATTGCAATGACAGACCTGATGTTTTTGGGAGGATTGTGGAAGGACTTTGGGCTACAAGAATCATTTAGTGTTAAGAGCTCAGTGGGGTCATCTGTGGAAATTGCAAGAAAGAATGTTGAGAACAGTACCGAAGATAGAGGATTGCTTTATGAAATTTCAGAGGGAATATTAAAAACTATCAAAACTGTTTGTTATTTTAAATTAAGATCCTGTGGTTCTTCCTAGCTGGGAGCTGAAAATCAGCTGTGATTGACAAGATACCAGAACTACTAAAGCAAAATTTTGCTTTTATGGAAGACTTGATGATGTTTGGGTGGAGCTAAGAAATTAGGAAAGGTCGCAGGGGGAGGTGGGTGGAGATTGGGAGTCTTGGATGTAGGAGAAATTTCAGTGTTTGCTCTGGGTCTTACAATTGCTTCCATCATGGCACAAGGAATCATTTCACTAACTTTTTTGTCAGTCACTTTTGTTCTATCCTAGGACTCTGGGCAATTCAGTCTCTGGTTCTTGGGATCCAGGTTGCACTGGGCATGTGTCCCTCTCACGGATTGGTCCTCTGGTTAGACAAGCCCTGCAAGTTTTGTCCCACCATTTCTACAGCATATTTTTGCAGGCAGGACACTTGTAGATGAAAGGTTTTGTGACTGGTTTGGTGTTCCAATCAGTATTTTAAAAATACTTTTGATCTATAGTTCATGTAATCTGGGGAGGTATAAAATGTAGATTCAGAGACCTACCTATGATTTCACATCCTATCATTTAATTACTCATTAATTTACAACTACAATGTATTTTTACATTAATACTTTTGCATATTTTATATATTCATATTTTATTTTTCATTATTCCCATTTTAGGGAAATTCTTATCAAATGATTTCATAGATTCACTTCTATTAATGTATTTTAAAATCTCTGACTATTTTATGCCCTTATGAGAAACTATTTGAAATGGGTAAAATTATGAGCTCAAACACCTCAGAATTTCATACATTGTTATTTTTCTAACATTTATTGATATACATTAGTCATTCACTACTCATTTAAAGATATTATGCCAATAAAAACAATGGTATTAAATATGAATTGCCACCTGAATGCAAGAAGTATTGGGGAATAACGTACCTGGAATTACACTGACTCATTATAGCAAAAATATTTTGATGATAAAATCAGCATCATCTCTAACTCAATACCTATCGCCCTAAGTTCTCTAGGAGAATGAATATGGGAAACTGAACTTTCTTCACATTTATAGTGAAAGAGCTAAAGAATGTCCAAGGATGATTGAATTATAATTTTCAGTTGCTGAAATATATCAATGAGAAAAAATTATTGGTGTAGAAGATAATGTCATCACTGTCATCAATATATCTTTGGAGAGGCAATCTGTATTTTTGGAAGGTCCTAAAAAAGTCAAGAAATGAATTGGTTCAGTCATTGAAGCATGAGATAATGAAATCTGAGCAACACAGTTAGGATTCTGCATGCTACTAGTAAGACAACAAAAGCCTACTAATTGATCCCCCCAAAGAGGGCCTCACCCTCCCTGGGGAAAGATGTGGGGATTGGGTTGGGGGTGAGGAATGGAAGTAGGGCTGGGAGAGAGAAGGGGGGGAGCTGGGATTAACATTTGAAGCATGCATGCTTCTAATTTAAATAAAAAGGGAAATAAAGAAAATGTCTTCACATTTATTTTATTATTCTATGTGTATGTGCTTGGTGCATACATATTTGGGCAACATATGGTACCTATGTGGTCAGAAGAAGGCATCAGATCTCTTGGAACTGGCATTACAGACAGTTGTCAGCTGCAATGTGAATGCTGAGAATCAAACCTAGGTCTTCTGGAATAACAGTCAGTAAGTACTCTTAATGACTGAGCCATCTTTCTAGTCCAACCTTTTATTTTTTGATTGCACGCTTGAAGTAGAAATTCAAACAGGAGAAAACTACAACTTGACCTTAAAATACTAATGTATAAAACAGAAAAAAACTGAGTAAAGGAATTAAATTCTTTCCTTGAGATACTGAGTGAATCTTGGCTACTAATAAATTACAAAGCAGGAACTTCAAGAAAATAAATAGTCTGTATTAGTATTAATACAATGACTCTTCTTGTTTACTTACTTCTTATGTGTGTCCATGATAATATGATGGTTGTAACAGTGAAAATTAACACCAGAAAACCTACCACAATTGCTATATCTGCCATCCAGCTATTGTATAAGGAAAATAGTGGATCTGAAATAGAAACTAAGAAATTTAAAAATTAGAAAATTAATGAAGTTGTGTATTAGAAAAAGAGAAGTTAAATGATATAATTTAATATCTTTTTACTAGCTTTTAGGATTCTTCAAAGATGAATGTGGTGATAGATGCCTGCAATAAGCATTCAGGAGGCTGAGGCAAGAGGAGTAATTCCAGCCTCTGTTACATAAGAAATTCTGTATCAGAAAAGAAAGAAAAAAAGAAGGGAAGGAAAGAAGAAGAAGGAGGATGAAGAGAAAAATAATTTAATCTGTAGAGACATTGTTTTGCTGGTTAAAATGGACTGATTCAACCAATTCTCACAAGTATAAAAAGCAGATATTTTATATCTTTTTGTCATTACCTACTATTATCAACTTTGAGGCTGCAATAGATGAAAATTTGGGGGAAACCTCAGAATGATTTGAATGAATTTAGTGTTTAAGGGAGATATAAATTTTTGGAGGCCATACTATGGTAAGCAGAATTGATCACCAAAATATCCATACCTACTCCCTAAAAATTTGCAACATGTTAGATCAAATAAAAAGGAGTCTCCAGATGTCATTAAAGCTATAAACCCTAAAATAAGAAGATTATTTGGAAAAACCCAATCTATTAATATAAATTCTTTTTTTTTTTTTGGTTTTTATGAGACATGGTTTCTCTGTATTGTTTCAGAGGCTATCGGTCCAGCCTGGCCTCGAACTCACAGAGATCTGCCTGCCTCTGCCTCCCGAGTGCTGGGATTAAAGGTGTGTGCCACCACCACCCGACTATTAATATAAATTCTTAAAAACAGAAACTTCCACTAGCTAGATTCAGAAAGAAGAAGAAACAGAGTGATGTAAGATGGAAAGACACATGACCCATCATTGTTTGCCAGGACTCATGGGAAACATATGATGTAAGCCAACTCAGGCTCCACATGATGGCTAGCAAGAAAGCAGGACTCCATAATCACAGTTGCAAGACACTATCCAACGATATAAACAAACTTGTGCATGCACAAATGAAGTGCTGATTAGGATAGAACAATACATTATTGATCATCAAACAAATAAGTCAATGAAATAATTCTTAATGATATTTTGCTATACTCATAGATTGGGTGCCTAGCCCAGTCATCATCAGAGAGGCTTCCTCTGGTAGTTGATGGGAGCAGATACAGAGACACACAGCCAAATATTAGAAGAATCTCGGAGAAACCCACAGAAGATGGGGAAGAAGGACAATTTCTGTGGCACAAGGAAAACAAGTGAGCAAGGTTCCTAGGGACTCACAGAGACTTAAGCAATAATCACAGAGCTTACATGTGTCTGCACTAAGCCCTTAGCACACATACTGTGGTAGTTTAACTTGAGGTTTTTATGAGGCTTCAAACAGTAAGAGTGTGGGTGTCTCAGACACTTTTGCATGCTCATTGGACCCTTTTGTTCTCCTACTGGGTTGCCTCACCTAGCCTTGATATGAGGGTTTTGGCATAGTCTTGTTGAATCTTTTAATGCCATGTTAGGTTGATATCACTGGGAGGCCTGATTTTTTTTCTGAAGAGAAATGGAGTAACAGAAGTTTGGCAAGGAGAGGAGATGTGGAGGTGGAGAGACTTGGAAGAGTGAAGGGAGAGGAAGCTCTGATCAAGATGTAATGTATGAAAGAAAATAAATAAAAATATTCAATATGATTGTATAATCTATACAATTAGAAGATATATAAGGCAAGTACATTGGTTCTTCCTACTTCCAGGAAAACCCCATATTTAGTTCAGTGAGCCCTTTTTCAGGGTTCTGATGATAAGAACAATAAGAACAAATGCATTTAGGTTTAAGTGACTATATTTAATGTAATTTGTTGTGCTTATCAGGAAAAAGATATACCACAGAAAGGACCCATGAATTATAGTAATACAGCCCATAAAAATGAAGTTCTATGAATTGCCTGACAGTAGTTTCACATTAATTTTTAAGATGGCTAAATAAACTACAAAAGAACATTGATAAGTGGGAAAATTATTTGTGAAGAAAATAAAAGTTTAGTAGAGAGAATCATAAAAGAAAGCCAAACAGGAACCATGGACTGAAGGGCATAATGGAGGAAATCAAAAGAGAACATGGAACATCAACAACAGAAGAAACTGAGCAAACAGAGTAACCACTCCTTAAACTAAGAGAGAGGCAGACAGACAGAAAGAGAGAGAGGGGGCAGACAGACAGAGAGGTACAGAGAGAGAAAGAGAGAGAGAAGGAGAGAGAGACAGAGAATCAGAAGGGTAAGTTTTGCATAATAGAGATTATGGAAGGAAATGGATAAATAATCAATGAAAACTTCACAACTTTAGGAAAACAAGGAGTACGAGGTTACACAAAGCTCAATGAAATCCATTGATGTTCAACCCAAAGAAGATTTCACTATGACATACTATATACAAACTGTCAAAATAAACACCTATTGAAAATTCAGAGGTGGAACTAGAAGGAACCATCCAGAGCAAGGTAACGCAGTCACAAAAAAACCAAAAATGGTATGAACTCACTCATATATGGATTTTAGACATAGAGCAAAGGATTACCAGCCTACAATTCGCACTGCCAGAGAAGCTAGGAAACAAGAAGGAACCTAAGAGAGATACATGGTCCCCCGGAGAAGGAGAAAGGGACAATATCTCCTGAGCAAATTGGGAGCATGGAGCGAGGGAAGAGGGATCTAGGAGAAAGAGAAGTGGAGAAGAGGAGGGGAGAGGACCACAAGAGGGATCAGGAAGACTGAGTTGGGGGAAGAATAGAGGAGAGCAAGACAAGAGATACCATAATAGAAGGGGGGCATTATACGTTTAAAGAGAAATCTGGCACTAGGGAAATGTCCAGAGATCTACAAAGATGACCTCAACTAACAATCTACGCAACAGTGGAGAGGCTATCTTAAATGCCCTAACCCAATGACTACCTTATATGCCATCCTAGAGCCTTTTTCCAGTAGCTGATGGAAGCAGAAGCAGACACCTAAAGCTAAACACTAAGTTGAACTCCTAGAATACAGTTGCAGAGAAGGAGGAGTAATGAGCAAGGGGGTCAATGCCAGGCTAGAGAATCATACAGAAACAGGTGACCTAAACAAGGGGGAGATCATGGATACCAGACTGATAGCTGAGAAACCAGCACAGGATTAATCCAACATGGGTGTAAATTAGGAGGCCTGGGCAATTTATGGGGCCTCTGGTAGTGGATCAGTATTTATCCCTAGTATAGGAATGGACTTTGTCAACACATTCCACCTAAAGGGATACTCTCTCAGCCTAGACACATGGGGGAGGGTCTAGGCCCTGCTACAAATGATATGACAAACACAGAAGATCCCCATGGAAGGCCTCACCCTCTCTGGGGAGCAGAAAGGGGATGAGATAGGGCCTTGGTGGGGTACAGGGGAGGAGGGGAGGGAGAAGGAACTAGATTGACATGTAAAACAAGGTTTTTTCTAATTGAAATTTTAAAAAAGAAAAAAGAAAAAGAAACAAAAAGAGCACCTATTCATACAATATTGAAACAAAGGAACTTTTTTTTTTTTTTTGGTTTTTCGAGACAGGGTTTCTCTGTATTGTTTTGGAGGCTGTCGGTCCAGCCCGGCCTCGAACTCACAGAGATCCGCCTGCCTCTGCCTCCCGAGTGCTGGGAGAAACAATGGAACTTAATATAGCATTTTAATCCATAAACTGTAGACAACATGTATAGATCTAGAGACTATTACCTAAGAAAGGAATATGAATTTCTCATTTATGAATCTTGAAAAGAGAATGCGATATATACAGAGGCTGTAAATAAATATTATTGAGCAAAGTTCCTACAGGCACAAATATACAATAGAGAATATGATATACATGGGTATCTGTGATTATAGAATGACCAGTAGTAAACAAAAAAATGCTATTCCATAGTGTGCTAGTACATGCCTTTAATCTCCATGATTGGGAGGCAGAGACAGGTGGATCTCTGAATTCAAGGCCAGTCTGGTCTACAGAGAAAATTCTAGGACAGCAAGGGCTACACAGAGAACCCCTGTCTTGAAAATCCAGTAATAAAAATAATGATAATAATAATAACAAATAATGTTAATAGATAGTCCAAGAAGGTTGAAGAGAGAAAATTAGTTCTTAGGGCCTCTAAAATTAGGAAATAAAACAAGAAATGATTATTTGTACCACAGTAACTGAAAGAGAATATGTGAACTAAGCAAGTAAAAGCATGGATCCCATAAGACACAAAGGCTGAAAACAGCAGCAAAGAGAGAGGTACAGAACACTCTGATTCCCCAATAGAAGGTCTTTCTGTCATAATAGAAAGAGAAATCACAAAGTCAAAGTAGACCCATCGCAAACACTGTTGGTCTTCATAATTGAAGTGCTCACCATAGTACTGAATTTCAATTATGTAGTAGCCTGAATTCTGTTTAGCTTTGCCTCAAAGAAGGAATTTACATTGCCTCTTCTACAAACCGTAGAACCCATATTTTTGCACTGTGGTTCACTATTTAGAATGAATAAACATTAAGAATGTATATTATCTTGATACCACAGTGCATTCTCATGTCTGAAGTCTAACAAACATTCCAACATATTTGTACAACAGGCTGTAGTCTTAAGATCCCAATCATCCCCAGTACTGTAACCCAGCCCCAAAACTAAAGGAAAACAGCCCTAAAATTTCATCAATCTTTGAGACATTTTTCCAAATGCCAAAGGAATTATGTAAACAAATAGCAAATTTTAATGCATTGCACTTCTTAAATGTCCAAATACAAAGGGACGTTAATGAAAATAGAGTGAAACTGGCATTAAAACAGATCTATAGAAACAAAATAGAGATAGCAGAAATGAATGCAGGTATATATTTTCAATGGGATCAGACAAGGAACCATGAACACACAATGGAACAGGATAGTCTCTTCAGTGTATAGTTCTGGGGAAACTGAGCATTTACCCAAATGAAATTAAAACCTCATCTTGTAACCTATATTAAGAATCAACTCAATATATTAAATATGTAAAGTTAAGACCTAGGATGATAAGATTCCTAAAAGAAAACAGAAGAGCAAAGATTGGTAAAGATTTCCTAAAGATGACCTCAAAGGCATAGTAGACAGCAAAAAGTTTAAGCAGAACTTCAGGAAACTAAAATGCTTGTGCACAACACAGTAAAATGATCAACAGAGTGTAAAGACACCAAGACCTTCAGGATGTAGGAAAAACATTTTATGAACCATAGATCTGATAAAAGGTAATAATACATAGCTCTCTCTCTCTCTCTCATGTAAGTCTATAGTCAGGGTTTTCTTATACATTGTTAATGATATGCAAAGTGATGCAATTATCAGTAGTTTATAAAGGTATTTGAGCACCAACATATGATCCAACTCAACTCATTAATCCATCTACAGTCGACTACAGTAGTCATTAAGGCTGCTAAGCCTCCTATCATCAGGAGGAATTGAATGCTGATGGCTCTTGAAATGGCTGAAATTATCTGTACCATGTCTCTGATCCCCACATGTTCCGCTGCAGGATCTTTATAAGTTATAATAAGCAACTATTTAGCAAAGATGTTCAGAGTAGTTTGGTCTTAGTTGCCTTATTTTCTGGGTGAATATAAATGCAAATATAAAAGCATTGGAAAATTGACTTTCTGTTTTTATAAATTCTAAGGAAGAAACTTTTGTCAAAATCACAAAAGTGTACAGGCCTTTGTATTCTATGATCCAAGGCCTATCTATCAAGAAGTTGGAACTAAGAAAACAAAGAGAGCCCCTCTGGTGACCACAATAACTCTGATATTCTCTTTTGTTGATTGGAAGAAATGTGCATGTTAATACCATGGTATTGCTCTGCATTGATTGCTGCTAATGATTCTATATACACATTTCCCCATTAGCCTTGGAAGAATAAAATATTGTCAAATGCCAAAATCAAATTATAGTGCTATTCTACTCATCATAAACGCTACTTCTTTATTATGACTATATTTAATACTTAATAGATACACAGAGGATTTAAAAGTCTCATGAAATTGTGTATAAGTGAAATGTCATTTTTGAAATTAAATAGAAATTCTTTTTATTTCATATATTTTCAGTACAGACTGTAAGATAAAAACTAAAAATGTTTGACCCATATTCATACATATGTATTGATTATTAAAAGGAGAGAAATTATTTAAGATAAATGGAAGCCTCTCTAACAATATTTTCTGAAGCTATGTTTCTTCCTTCTTGCGCAAGAGCAAAAGGATTTGGTTCCCAAAACAGCTGTAAAATACCTGCAGATTTAGCTGCTACCTTACACACCTTGTTAGAACATGATTCTATTATGTTATACCCAAACGACAGATCCTCCTGGAGATGATGTAAGTGTCACATAACTAAACAATCCCCCAAAGACATACATCTAGGAAAACAAGAGAATTGAAGATATGTTATCACCATTAATGCTATTTACCTTTGTTCCGTAATTGCACATACTTAATAACGATTGTTACAGAGAAGATCATGAAACACAGGAATTTAAAGACCATTACTATTATGCCTGCTTTATGGAGACATGGTTCACATCCACATGCACATTCTAGAACAGAAAGAGTCAGAATTAATAAAAGGAACTTAGGAGTATGAAACAGTACAGAAGTATAACCACATGAAAAGGTGGTTTATCTCTTTCATATTCATCTCTAAGTAGAACTAAAGCATCAGGCTCGTTTTGCAACTAGGACATTTCAACTGGATTTGTAAAACTATCAGAGATAAGAGGAATTTCCTTTTCTGAACCTAACAACCTAACCTAGCACAAAATCAGTGATTGTGGGGAGAGGAGACAGCTCAACTCAAAGAGTCCTCATCAGATTCAATCTTGGGCAATGGTAGCTATGAGAACAGCATTAGCTGAAATGAGGGAACTTAGTTGGATCCATGGATTCTGAAAACTGAAGTGCCCTGCTCCTTCAGCAATGTCAGTAAACATATTCTCATCTTCAAGCTGCTAGGACCCTGTTCCTAAACTGAACAGACAGTACACAAGTGTGTCTCTATAGATTAACAAATATGTATCCACAGGATAGTTAATCTTCATATGACCTTCCAGAAAAGGATGAGCAAGATTTTTGAAGTAACTAGAAATGCATTTGAAACAAGATAGCACAGTTTTGACTTTTAGTCTCTGGGTAGCAGGGAATCAGAATTTACTTTCTCTCTCTCTCTCTCTCTCTCTCTCTCTCTCTCTCTCTCTCTCTCTCTCGTGTGTGTGTGTGTGTGTGTGTGTGTTTCTGAAATCACCATTGAACCTATTGTGTAGAAATTATCTAATATCAAAAGAGAATAAACTTCTCATAACCACCTTGGAATAGAATACTTCAATGATTAAGTGGTCTCCACAGTCTGGGAGATGCACAATAAGAAACATGAAACTAAGTTGTTGGGGGATATTTGATCATACCGTAAACCCCAAGTTTGCATTTGCATTAACTAAATAAAATTAACCTTGGATCAGGAGTCAGAGTTAGCAATTAGTTGACATAATGTAATCATAGAGCTTCAGAGGGCATCCAGGACAGACAGAGAGAGAGACAGGAAGTAGGAGGGAGGGATTTTGAATGACAAGGCTTTTTGTGTGTGTGTGTTTTGGTGAGGCAGAAGGACATACTTTTGGGGAGACACCAGCACGGAAATAAAGCTAACTAGTTTCTGTTCATCCTCTCTAAGCTAATAGGTTTTCACTCCAGCCTTTGAATCTTGAGTCTTATTTATATATAGAACTATAGAGATTTAGTTAAAGCTACCTTTAGCACCAGCGACAGAGTTAGTGCATGAGGGAAAAGCATTACCACCAGGCTGCAGCCTGAGCAAACGTGCTGCTGCCAGATAAGCAGGCTGGTAACTGTGCAATCATAATTGCTGGCTGAAATAGCAGTAGATTAAGGAACAGCCACCGTGCCAAAGTTAAAACTACATCAAGTACTGAAAGTAACAGCATAATAATACGGCATGAAATTTGGAGCCAAATATAAATGTAGGTCAATCTTAGCTATGTCCCTTATAACCTGTGTAATCCACTATGTTCTCAGCCCTATTAAGATGAAAGTAAGAGAACTAGCATTTAGGAATAATTTGGATAAACTCAATAAATTCATTATCACAGTGCTTGGCGCATAAGGAAGTCCCCTCTAAATATAATTCATTAGTTAGGAGTCCATGGATTAGATAAACTAATAGAACGAACAGGTTACAACTTCTCCTTTGAGTCACATTATCTTTTAATCACTGTTAAATTGCAGCCTTCTTTCATCCCTTGGCTGCAGATTTCTTAGTGTGTTATCAAATTGTTATTCTCTGCTTTATTATTTACTCATCCTCTGAATTCTTGTGTTTCCATATAGCAGCTTTACTCTGTTCTATAATAAAGAATAAATTTTGTTTTGTCATTGGAGTTGGAAAAGGTCTGTTCTTTTTCTTTAATTTTATGTGAGTAGGTACTTTGCCTACATGTATGCCTGTGCATTATTTGTATGTGTGATACTCATACTGGCTAGAAAATGATATTGGATCTCCTGGAACTGGAGTTACAGACAGTTGTGAGCTGCCATGCAGGTGCTGGGAACTGAACCCAGGTCCTCGGGAAGACCTACCAGTGGTATTAACTATTGAGCTATCTCTCCAGCCCCAAAGGTTGTTCTTATACTGGATCCCTGTATCGTTACAGAGTATGGTATATACATTTAGTTTGTATAAAAAGTAAGAGAATAATGTGGTTGTAAAGGAGTTATTGATTTATATAAGTGCTTCTTTGATGTGTAGGGTAAATGCAATAGGGAATATAATATATTTATTTACCAGAATAAGAACTTACACACAAAAGGCTGGGGGAGTCAGAAGCATGGCAGGCTTCCAGGGGAAGAGAGGAGAAGAGAGATTTGTTTCTGTTTCACGTCCTTTTATCTCCAGCTGTCCTAAATTTCCTTATCCCCACCCTTAGAGCAGATAGCTTTGTGGGGCTCATCCCTACACCTCTTTTTTGTATTAATTTATTCAAGACTAAGGCCTAAGAAATTGCAATATTAAAAATAATTGAGGGGCTGGAGAGATGGCTCAGAGGGTAAGCATTTGCTGTTCAATCATGAGGATCTGAGTTCCAATCTTAGCACTCACATTAAAAAAACAAGCAGAGTTGTGCATATGGCATATGCACCTATAAATTCAGTGCTATGTGTGGCAGAAAATGGGGATCATTTGTGCTTTCTTACTGCCAGCCTAGCTCTAGCTTCAGTGACAGACATTTTCTTAAAAGAATAAAACTGGGAATTATAGAGTCAGAAACTCAAAGTTCATCTCTGGCCATGTGGAAGCACAAGTCCAAGCATCTAAGCTCAGAGATCATACACACACACACACACACACACACACACACACACACACACACACACGCCATATGCACACATAGGTATACCATATGTATACACATGCATACAGTCCCCACCCTACTGTATTCTGGAATTTGTGATCACATGCTAGAATAGTCTCACATGCTTCAATCACTCCACAGTCTGAGGTGACAGAAGGTTACTCTACTGTGATGGAAATGGTATTTCTTAAGAAAAAGAAGATATCTTTAAATTTCAGTGTTTCAATTGGTGCTCCTTTTAGTAATCCTAGAGTTGAGAGGTATAAATTCAACATTTGAAAGTAAGAAGTAAGCTGTGAATAAAAGTGGATAATGTATGTCATTTAATTTTAACTTGTGATTTAGGCATAAAGCTAAAAAAAACTTAATATTCTATCCTTCTTGATCAGTTACCTGCTTTGATGAAGATAAAAACTAAAAGGTATAAAAAAGATAAACAGATTGATACTGAAAAGAAAATGAAAATCGATTTTTTCATGTCGTTCTCATTAAACAGGGCATCTGAAAAAAGAAGAGAACTTCTTTAAAATAGACATAGCAAAGAGCAGCACCAGACCAGGAAACTGCCGCTGCTAGAAGGACAGTTTTCCGCTTCAGGTTCTGCAACTCTTCCTATCCTTTTTCATCTTCCTTCCTCCTTCCCTCTTGTTTCCTCCCACGCCATTACTCCCTCCCTCTCTCCTACCTTCATCCAACTCTTTCCTTTCCTCTCTTCCTCCTTCCCCTCCCTCTGCGCCCTCTTCCTGTCTCCTTCCCACCCTATCTCTCTAGTCCTTCCATCCTTTCTTCCTTCCTTGTCCATTTCCTCTCCCCTTTTCTTCCTTCCTTTCTTTTCTCATTGTTTCTCTCCCTCTCTCTCTCTCTGTCTTCCTCTCTTTCTTCTTACCTCTCATTTTCTGTGTCTGACTCAGAACTACATACTGGTAGACCTGATTTTGTGGCAACTACAGAGAACATCTGAATACTAAGTTCATCTTGGAGATATAATTCCCACCTCCAACTTCCCCCACATCAATAACCCTCCCTACCCATTCAATTTTGTCTTTCCTTTTCAAAATAAATTCTTCAAGTCCAAATTGTGTTGCTAACATACTCTTTGAATATATGGCCTTCTACTGGATCCTGGTTCCTGGTTGATTATATCAAGAGTAACACGCTTAAGAATGCTAATTCTCCCTTCTCAGCTGCTATCAGTTACCAATACCTCATCGGCTAAAGGAATTTCCCTCTCTCTTTTCTAGGATTTTGTGTGACTTGAGTTCGTGCATGTCTTGCACATGCAGTCACAGTAACCTTGAGGTCATATGGCAACTGAAATTTGTACAGCAATTGCACTTAACAGCCTTACAAGTTTTTTACCTAATATATGCTCACTCAAAAAAAAGTTTCCTGTATTGACTGAAAATGTTTCTTTTCATATCATGATTCCACTCAATGACCTTAGAAGTATTTGGTTTTTTTAGTTTGTCTTTCACCATATCTTTAATGTATCAGTAAATCCATTCATCTCTACTTTAAAAATATTTGCAGTATCTTACTCACTTTCTATTCGAAGCGTTTCTTATCATATTACCCAAGCTGAATTCAAATTCTATCATCATCCTGCCTAAGCCTTGCAAGTGCCATCCTGCCTAACTTCTGATTCCTACTCATTCTTGTGAAATCTGGTATCCCAAGAGCCATTGCTAGAGAGCCCTATTCAGTCACAGCAACACAATTTTTTAGTCAATTTCCTAATTCTCCAGCACATTGTAGAGTTTTTAAAAGAGAAAGAAAACAATCATTATTTAAAGTAGAAAAATATTGCATGAACAAGTGTCTAAAGATATAAACTCTCCTCTCTCCACCCACACACAGTCTGTTCATATGAGAAACTTAATTTCTGCACTTGGTGTTAGTGAAAGATAGCTTCATTATACATATGACAACATTTTCTTGATTTGTTTTTAATTTATCTATCATGTCTTCTAGGAGTGAGCAGTGAGAAAATAATCACATAATCTGCATTTTACTTACACATTTTTCTTATGGCTATTCTCTCTCTCTGACTCTCTTTGTTATTCATCTCACTGTCATAACAATTTCTATGTATTTACTCTATAGGAATTTTAAAATGCAAGTTCTAGCACTGAATACTATGTGACAGTAATCAATATGTCCTAATGACTTAGAATTCATAAAAACCTACGAAGTATGCTTACATTTTTTCTGAGATGAGAACATATTTCAAATTGATATACCATTTTTATCTTACTAAGCTAATATCTTGTTAAACTTGAACACAAATGGAAATTTATTGAGATAATGGCTCTAAGCTCTTCTAATACTGCACACTTAACATTTGCCTCACCAAAACTAGTATCTATGATAAAGAGGCACACTCAAAGAATGTTCTGCAATGCAGTCTTTTAACATTAATCCATTGGTTTATCCTTTATGCTTCCAAGTTGACAATTAACCTATCATGACTGAGTACTCACTTGCAAAGATGAGATTCGTTTGCTTCTCTTCACCCGTTAGAGGGTTAAGAACGCAACATGTGATACTTTCCTGAGAATGGTTTCTGAGGAGAAGAGTCATCTTCATGTGGAAAAATCTATCTCCATCCTGTGAGTGTGATACTGAAGAATATGGAACTACTTCCCCTCTGCTGTCTCTCCACTCCATTCGGGGCTGTGGGAACCACCCTTCTGAAAAGCACCCCACAATGAATCCTCCATTTCCAGAACTCTGAACATGGATTTGCGTCTTCAATCCAAATGCTGGTGGAAATTACAAGGAGTTAAAAGCATAGTGATTATACTGAGTTTGGATGGATAGAGTAGGGAAAAAAGGGAATCTCAATCATGACATCCTGTAGTTTAATAATATGGGTGAATCAACTTTCATATTTTATTTTCAAGTTAGGTTAATTAATTGCTATGCAATGTCTACTTCCTGTATAGTGTATTTTTGGAGAACTATGTGACTTTAACTCATTACTTGGCTATTTTACAAGCATAAAATATGAAAAATCTATAAAAAACACAAAGATAATTTCCATGTATTTCAGTTTTTTGGGCAAAAAGACACTGGCATACTATGTTGCACAGGGAACTTACCTGCCACACTGAGATTCATGCTGGCCACATAACTGAAGGCACTATCATTAAATGAACATTGGTAAAGCCCGTCATCAGGAATGCTGATATTACGAATTCTGAGGGCCACTTTTCCCTTTCCAATGGCCTCTTTCACAAACTCTACACGATTCACATATTCAGGTGCAGCTTCTCCATTCGCTCCATGGCTACCTCTGTATAGGTAAAGAGGTTGGGAATGGCCACTCCTGAACCAACGCACCTCCATGTACTCCACACTGCGTGGTGGGATCACCTGGCAGCTGAGCTCAGCCTGGCCTCCTACTCTAGCCACCAAGTGTTCAGTGGGAGCTGTCACCATCAGATTCTCTGTGGAAAAAAATTAAAATCAAAATAAATCTGAAACTAACAAGCCTTTGCTGCCACAAGGTGCTGGAAGAACATATCAAATCCTGCCCACACCTAAATATTCAATAATGATTACATTCATTCTCATCTTTCAATATTTTAAAACCACTGCTAGCTCATTCTTATCTTTAAAATAGAATCGAATGAAGTAGGAATCCCAATAATCTGTCTTGCTACTTAAGAATTCTATGAAAGAATCTGTCAAGTATAACTTTATTGGAATTCTTGAATCTATTGAATGATGTTTGTCAGTTTTTGTGATAGTATGTGTGACAAAATATCTAAGAAAAAGAATTTCAATGAGAAAATACATTTTGACTCATGGTGGCAGAGGCTTCACTTCATGAGTAGATTTTTACCACTGTTTCTCAGCCCTGCTGAGACAGAATGTCATCCTGGAGAATGTAAAACACAGTTGCCCATTCCCAGAAAGCACAGAGAACAGAAGAGAAAGGATAAGGACTTTCCAAAGTGTTCTCCAACTTGTCTAATTCCTCTGACCACACACTACTTCCTACTTCATTCTCCCTTCAATAACGCCACAGTATCACGAATCCACATTGATGGAGGCTGAGCAACCAAAAGTTTCATCACTTCTCAATGGTTGGATATCACCGTTAACAACCCATTAGCCCATGAGTGTCATTGAGGAGAAATTTCAAAACCAAATCATGATGACTTAGAACTCCAACTAAGCTTTGGATTATTTACATGCATTTTATTTATAGTCATTTCAGCTTTTATCACAACACCAACTAGCTGCCACCAACCATTAGTTTATTGATGACCAGTTGTCCATGTTCATCAAGGAATTCTGTGTAGCTTATGAGAGCCAGGATGAACCAAAACAACTTTATTTTACAATTATTGGAGAGCTATGTTCTGATCATTGATTATTGCCTCTATCACATAAGCATAGACCAAGGGGTGATTAGTTATTTTTGAAGCTTCTCCTAAAGTGAAAATCTTACCCTTTTCTAACTGAAATTGTTTAAAGAAGTTTGGTTATTTTAATTTTTTAATTTTAATTTCTTTTGGTTTTTGAGGCAGGGTTTCTCTGTATTGTTTTGGAGGCTGTCATGTAACTTGCTCTGTAGACCAGGCTGGTCTCAAACTCACAGAGTTAATTTTATTTTTGAAAGAGGGCGTTCAAAAGCATCTGCATATAGGGGAAGAATTGGAAAGTATGCAAGTGCACAAGGAAACAAACAGATTCTGAAAGCAGCCAAGGAGAAGCCTTAAACTTACAAGTGGTCACTAGCACAGACTACAAGAAGCTAAATTCAAAAGCACTGGAGAAGGAAGAAATCACATTTTGCAGAGTCATCATATTGTTGGATTTAAATGTCTAGTTTTCAACAACAAAAATCCCAACACATGAAAAGAATCAGAGGAGCACAGCTAATACAAAGGAAAAAATAAATCAGAGTCTCCCTGACTCTCGACTAGACAGCGGATCTACTAGACAAAGACCTTAAAGTAAGAATCTTAGTATGCTCAAATAACTAAAGGATGTATAAGATAAAAAATCATATATAAGCAGGCTAGAAATATAAGTAAAGTGATTCAAAACCTGGGAAAGAAACTTAAAAGAAATATAGGAACTGAAGGCCACCTCAACTTCTTGCCACTCTTTTACCCATGGTCCAAAAGGACAATGAAACATGATATAATATTTTCCATTAATATTTTAATGCTAATGTAGAAACTTCTTTCTGAGATTCAGAAGCAAACACAAGATCCACTGACAAATGAACAGATAAGAAAAATATGATATATACATATAATGAAATATTGTTCAGAGTTAAATAAAAAGAATCCTGCCATATGCTACAACATGAGCACACTTAATGAAAATTAGTTTAAATGAAATAAGACAGATAGAAAAAGACAAAATCTGCATATTTTAAGTAGTCAAATCTGTAGAACAAGGAAGTCGAATAGTGATAAACTGAAGCTTTATGGGGGAGAAATGAGGATAACATATCTAATGTAAATAAAAACAATAGTGTAATGGTTCATAAAAGCAACTTATTAATCAAAGGCTACAAACACTCATTCCTTTTCATCTATCACTGCCATTTATTTCCTTGCATTGTAATTCATAATTGATGAATACATTGCTTTTACTGTTTTGAAAATCCTGTCCTTTATTAGATCAATTGGGATTATTTTACTATCAACTTTTCCTTCTCTAATATTTATGTAGTTTTCATTATCTGACTTTGCCGTTTTCCTTCTCTCCAATAAACCTTGAACATACATATTTCTCAAGACAGAGTTACTAAACACAATACAGATTCTTCCTCTTCCCTCCATGACTGCCAGCATTTTAAATTTTATCTTCAATTTTCATTATATTTTAAATACTACATGCAGGGGAACATTTTTTGTTTGCTTTGTCTCTCACCCTGTTTGGTATTCTCCAAGATTTGTGGATCTATGGGGAATTTAAGCCATGGTTTCACTGTATGTGCCTCTCTTTCTTTTGCCTTTTGCCTTTCTTTTTGCATTACCATCGTCTATATACTACACTTTTGAGAATTGTCTCTGAGTTCTTAGACTTTCTCAGCAAAAGTGTTAGTCTTTTTTCTCTTTATACATTTCTATGATTAATACTCAAGGTCAGATGTTCTTTTCCAAGTTTTGTCCATTCAGAGCCCATAAAAGAGGAATTCATTAGTTCTGCTAAGGTGTATTTTTGCCTATCAGATTTTTTTTGTTACTAGCTCAGAATTTCTAACTTTGCTTATATTATCCATTTGTTCTTACATATTATCCACTTTTGCCATTAGATCATTTGCAATATTAATTATGGTTATATTAAATTTATGGCCTCAACATTAGAGACTGTGTGACTTAACTTGCTCCATCCTTATGGACTCTGGTTTTGATTGTTAGTTAGTCCTGGAAGGTTTTGTTGGAAGTCAAATATGCTACAATTAATGTGCCCTGGTGGCATGTTTTAATGATGTGGCACTAAAATATGTGGGGAGAGAGAAGAAGCATTCTGGAGAATTATGATTTAGATTCAGCTTTTTAGCAAACCTGTGCATTTGGGTTGTGACCTTTCTTGAGGGCTTCTCAATGTCTTGTTTCTAATTTAATTTAAATTTAAAAATAAAAAGACAAAAAATTTAAGTCTAAGTACATGTTACTTTGTAAAAGAGGTTCTGCTTTTGTTTCCACAGAAGATAAAAAAGCTGTGGATTCCTTCTGGACTAAAATGGTTTGATCAAGCATGACCCCCTAAAGCAGTTACCCAGGTGACCCAACATCTAAAACAGCTGAGACCATGCAGCCTCACAGACCACACTACAGCCAGGAATATAGTCATGTGATGAGGAAGGACCTTCTGTATGCTGTGAATATATGTTTCTCATATTGGTTTAATAAAATGCTGATTGGCCAGCAGCCAGGAAGGAAATGTAGGTGGTGCTACCAGACTAGGAGAATGCTGGAAGGAAGAGAGGCAGGGAAGCAGTCACCAGAGAGTTGCTGTGTAGTCACAAGGAAGGCAGGGTGCCTGGGCATTCTCTGGTAAGCCATGACCACATGGAAATACTTAGATGAATAGAAATTGGTTCATAATTAAGAGAGAGATAGCTAATAAGAAGCCTGAGCCATCAGCCAAACAGTTTATAATATAAGCCTTTTGGGTGTTTATTTGGGGCTAAATGGTTGTGGGACCAGGTGGGATAGAAAATCTGTCTATAGTCACATTAGTTAGTTTTTCTAGTTATACAGAGATATATTGTAAATGGACATGCATTTTTCAAAACCTTACAAAGACATTCAGACTATAGTATTTAATATGGTTTGTTAACTTGGAGCTTTTAATGACTAGAAGACACATCTGATTCTAGCAACACCAATTAGGTCAGAGAAGATAATGAGCATTGCAGAAATTCATAATGGAGTTTTCCTTCAATGTGACAAGAATAGTCATTTGAACAGGAAACTGCTCTTGCCTGGACTGCTTAATAACACACTAGACAAGCAGGTTACAAAGAAAAGTGACTGCTGAATTTGCCGTGGGACAGGATGGTCCTTCAAGGTTCTTGCTTCATCAAAAAGTCAGCCATACGTTCTAGGCCTATAGGCTAAAGAGAGATGCCCCAACATTACCGAGAAACTTTAGGTGACTGTTCAGGCAGTGAGATGTCTCTGTCGCTTCTAAAATTTATATATTATGCCTCTGGGGTCTTTCACGGGGTTGAAGACAAATACAGTTACAGTTTTCTTAGATGTGATAAAAGATAAGTTACATATAAAACTTTAGACTCACAAAGATAAGATAGATGGTATAATATTTTCTTTAAATTTTGCCAAATGTTAATGAGCTAAATATTGTAATTATAATGCTTGCTTGATAACTGTTTTGCTATATATAATTTTACTATATTAAAGATAAAACCATCCTTTTTATTTAGACAAAAAAGAGATGATTGGTGATGTCCTTCTGCATGTTGTGAATGTTTCTCTTATTGGTTGATGAATAAAGTTGTTTTTACCAATGGACAGGCAGCATTTAGCCAGGCAGGAAATCTGAACAGGGATAGAGAAAGGTAAAAGGCAAAGAGGTAGATGCCATGCAGCTGCCAAAAAAACAAGAGAAACAGGTATCACTGGTAAGCCAAGACCGTGTGGAGATTCACATATTAGTAGGAATGGGTTAATGATTAAGAGAGGGCTAGCCAAAAAGAAGCCTGAACAACAGCTGAAACAGTTTATAGCTAACGTAAGCCTCTGGGTGTTTATTTGGGACTAAACAGCTTCTGCAGGTCCAGGAAGGACAGAAAATTTCACCCATAACTATTTTACTTGATATTGCCATGAAGTGATGTTGTTAACCTCCTTCAATATGCAACTGGACAATAGAAGTCTATCTTGCGTCCTTTTCATAATTGCAATGGATAAGAAAAAAAGCACACGTTCTTACCAGAAGTTGATGCTATCACTTGCAAGAAAATAAGGCATATGTGATACCCAGGAAAATAGGAGTATGTAAGCTTCATCATATCTGAAACGAAAAATGTAACAATGTAACAGTGAGATATGAAGTATAGATTGTCTAAATAAGCAAAATTAATTCAAAGTTTTAAAAAGAGACCTTAAGGTTCCACTAAATATAAATCTCCTTAGTGTTGGAAAAAGGAGTTTGTCCTCACAAGTGGTTCTGTTCAGAGGAGGACTTCCCAGTACCTTTATCTCTCTAGTTCACACTCTGTGGTTTCTTTAACCTTTTGTCCAAACTTTCTAAATAAGCAGTACTTCCAGCAGATGTATTTAGCAAACAATGGAAGAAAAACATTTAAAGCAAATTATTGTATATAGGGAACAAAATAGCCAGTATAAAGGCGTGAATGCCTAAATGTGAATGAAACATAAGAAAAATAATTTTAATTCGTGCAATTGAAAAAAATGTATTGAGATAAAACTATGAATGAGCTAATATCATTTCTTATCAATTGTATATATTATTTCTAATCGTAACAGTGCTGAAACCTGTTAATTTTTAATAATTTTAATGGTCACTTTTATACTATAAAATGTGAGAATGTTTTGTGAATATGTTATTGATAATTGAAAGTATAGACATAAGTTTTCAAAAGAAATACTTGAATAAATTGACTTTTCAAACTTATCAGAGGAAAACACATCAAGAGCAATTCCTTAAATTAAAATTTTGGGACAAGAATGGCCATATGAAGAAACATTAGTTAAAATTTACTAATCTTGCAAAGACACTGGAGGATGTAACTTACACTTTTAATAAGGATAATCACACAACTTGCAAGAAAATTATTATATATATATGTGTGTATTCATGCATACACACAGACAGACACACATACATATACACATTATGTATACATATATGTATATATCTTGAAGGATATAAAATCTTCAAGACAGCTGATATTAAAAGTCTGACTTACTTTCTTTCCATGAACTCAAAATGAGAATGCAATGCATGAAGAATCAACTTTTTTTCTATTACTGATGGGAAGATGTACCATTATTAAAGTTTCTCTTAAACTAAGTTCCCTACTCTAAAAATTACTGAAATGCAGATGAAGGAGCAACAGACACCTAGACATTATTTTCTCACTATGTTCCCTTTCCTCCCTTTTGGAATGGTCATGTATATTCTGTGCCATTGTGTGTTGGAATTATGTGATCTGCTGTTTCATTTGGGTTTTATAGGGGGTTACAATTAAGAAATTGCTACAAGTCTCAGATGAGAGTTTTTTAAATCATTTTTTATTTTAATTTTAAATAGCTTGTTTTACATGTCAATCCCAGTTCCCTCTCCCTCCCCTCCACCCACACTCCCCTTCCCCTCCACCCTCCCAACCTATTGCCAAATCCTTCCACATAGGGGATATCTAGAGTCTGTCATTTTACTCTGGGTAGGGTCCAGGCACTCCCCTAAGAGTCCAGGGTGAGAGAGCATCCCTCTTTGTGCTATAGGCACACAAAGACTGTTTTGTATACCAGGGATAGACACTGATCCACAGCTCAGGGCCCCATAGGTTGCCCAGGCCTTCTCTCTGACACTCATATTTGGGGGGTCCAGATCAGTCCCATGCTGGCCTCCCCACCATCGGTCTGGGGTCCAAGAGCTCTCCCCTGTTCAGATCAGCTGTCTCTGCTGGTTTTGCCAGCCCATTCTTTGCCAATTTGCTCATCACTCCTCTCTCTCTGTCACTGGGTTCCTTGGGTTCAGTTCAGTGATTAATTGTGTGTTTACCTCTGCTTCCATCAGTCACAGGATGAAGGCTCCCGGATGGTTATAGACATCAAGTTCATTATCAGGGATGGGCATTCGAGGTGGCCTCTCCACTATTGCTTAGCTTGCCAATTGGTGTTATCCCTTTAGATCACTCGAGGTCACTCTGGTGCCTGATCTGTATTCGATCCTATGATTCCCTCTTCCCCCTATTCTACCCCCACCCCCTCAACTTCCTGTTCCCCCATGACCAACTACAAAGGCACCTACATTTGTGAAAGAAACATTACTAAAGCTCAAAATGCACATAAAATCTCACACACTAATAGTAGGAGACTTCAACACTATGCTCTCACTGCTAGACAGGACCTCCAGACAGAAACTTAACAAAGAAACAAAAGAACTAATAGAAGTTATGACCCAACTGGGTTTAACCGACATCTATAAAACATTCCACCCAAATACAAAGCGATATACCTTCTTCTCGGCACCACATGGAACCTTCTCTAAAATTGACCACATAATAGGAAACATAGCAAATCTCCACAGATACAAAAAAATTGGAATAACCCCCTGCATCTTATCAGACCACCATGCATTAACATTAGAATTCAACAATAACACAAATCGCAGAAACCCTACAAACCCATGGAGATTGAACAATGCACAATTGCACCATCCCTGGGTAAAGGAACAAATAAAAAAAGAATTTAAAGACTTCCTCGATATCAATGAGAATGAAGACACAACATACACAAACTTATGGGACACTTTGAAAGCAGTGCTGAGAGGAAAGTTTATAGCACTAAGTGCCCACATGAAAAAACTGGAGAACAGTCATACTAGAGAATTAATAGCACAGCTGAACGTTCTAGAACAAAAAGAAGCAAACTCCTCCAGGAGGAGCAGACGCCAGGAAATAATCAAATTGAGGGCTGAAATCAATCAAGTAGAAACCAGAAAAACACTGAGAAGAATCAATGAAACAAAGAGTTGGTTCTTTGAGAAAATCAACAAAATAGATAAACCTCTGTCCAAACTAACCAAAAGACAGAGGGAGAGCATGCTAATTAACAAAATCAGGGATGAAAAAGGGGACATAACAACAGACTCTGAGGAAATCCAGAGAATCATCAGGGCATACTTTGAAATTCTGTACTCTACAAAATTTGAAAATTTAAAGGAAATGGACAATTTCCTGGATAGATATCACTTGCCAAAACTAAATCAAGAACAGATAAACAATCTAAACAGACCTATAACCCCTAATGAAATAGAAGCAGTCATCAAAAGCCTCCCAAACAAAAAAAGCCCAGGCCCAGATGGCTTCAGTGCAGAATTCTACCAGAAATTCAAAGAAGAGCTAATTCCAAAACTCCTCAAAGCATTCCACACAATAGAAGCAGGAGGCTCACTGCCAAACTCTTTCTACGAGGCTACAATTACCTTGATACCCAAGCCACACAAAGACACAACTAAGAAAGAGAACTATAGACCAATTTCCCTCATGAACATCGTTGCAAAAATACTCAATAAAATACTCACAAACCGGATTCAAGAACACATCAGAAAAATCATCCACCATGATCAAGTAGGCTTCATCCCAGGAATGCAGGAATGGTTCAACATTAGAAAATCTATCAATGTAATCCACCATATTAACAATCTGCGAAAGAAAAACCACATGATCATCTCACTAGATGCTGGAAAAGCCTTTGACAAAATCCAGCACCCCTTCATGATAAAGGTGCTAGAGCTCCTAGAGCTGATAAACATCTTCAGCAATGTGGCAGGATACAAGGTAAACTCAAAAAATTAGTGGCCCTATTATATACAGATGATGAACTGACTGAGAAAGAAATCAGAGAAACATCACCTTTTACAATAGCCAAAAACAGCATCAAATATCTGGGGATAATGTTAACCAAGGAAGTTAAAGACCTGTATATCAAGAACTTTGTGTCTTTAAAGAAAGAAATCTAAGAAGATACCAGAAAATAGAAAGATTTCCCATGGTCTTGGATTGGTAGGATCAACGTAATAAAAATGGCAATCTTGCCAAAAGCAGTCTACACATTCAATGCAATCCCTATCAAAATTCCATCACAATTCTTCAAGGACCTGGAAAGAACATTAATCAACTTTATATGGAAAAACAAAAGGCCCAGGATAGCCAAAACATCCCTATACAATAAAGGAACTTCAGGAGGCATCACCATACCTGACTTCAAGCTCTATTATAGAGCTATAGTCCTGAAAACAGCTTGGTATTGGCATAAAAATAGGCAGGTAGACCAATGGAACCGAGTCAAAAGCCCTAATTTTAACCCACACACCTATGAACACTTGATTTTTGACAAAGTAGCTAAAACTGTACAATGGAAAAAGAAAGCATCTTCAACAAATGGTGCTGGCATAACTGGGTACTGGTATGCAGAAGACTGCAGAGAGATCCATGTTTATCGCCTTGTACAAAACTTAAGTCCAAATGGATCAAAGATCTCAACATAAATGCAGCCACACTGAAACTTTTAGAAGAGAAAGTGGGAGATACTCTTCAACGAGTTGGTACAGGAGACCACTTCCTAAACATAACACCAGTGGCACAGGCACTGAGATCGACAATTAACAAATGGGACCTTCTGAAACTAAAAAGCTTCTGTAAGGCAAAGGACACAGTCAACAAGACAGAAAGGCAGTCCATAGAATGCGAAAAGACACTCACTGACCCCACATCTGACAGAGGGCTAATCTCCAAAATTTACAAAGAACTCAAGAAACAAGTCTCCAAAACACCAAAGGATCCAATCAAAAGGTGGGGTACAGAATTAAACAGAGAATTCTCAATAGAGGAGGCTAAAATGGCCAAGAGACACTTAAGAAAGTGTTCAACATCCTTAGCCATCAGGGAAATGCAAATCAAAACAACTCTGAGATACCATCTTACTCCTGTCAGAATGGCTAAAATCAAAAACACCAAAGACAATTTATGCTGGAGAGGATGTGGAGAGAGGGGAACACTCCTCCACTGCTGGTGGGAGTGCCAACTCGTACAGCCACTTTGGAAAGCAGTATGGAGATTCCTCAGGAAAATGGGAATCAATCTATCACAAGACCCAGCAATTCAACTCTTAGGCATATATACAAAGGAGGCAAATTCATACAACAAGGGCATCTGCTCCACTATGTTCATAGCAGCATTATTTGTAATAGCCAGAACCTGGAAGCAACCTAGATGCCCCTCAACTGAACAGTGGATAAAGAAAATGTGGTACATTTACATAATG